CTTTTATTTAATCACTTCTCTCCCATTTCATTAAAAAACATTTTTTAAAAGTAAAAGTTGTTGCAAACAGACCTTAATTAGGTTGGCCAATGGTTCACTATCAATTCTTTACCAAATTTAGTCATTTATTGTACTCCGTATTATTCTACGAAATTACGAAAAATGGTTAACATAGTACATCTACACCCTTGGGATTTGTTGGATTGCATATTCATCGAAACAAGTCGTTAATGGCGAAGTTGTCCTTTGCCCTCTTGTGATGATTTCAGTGGAATTCCCAATTAGATTAGAATTTGCGGGTTGCTCTGCTTTTGAAAATGCACCTAAGCACTCGCCACTCAATCACATAAGAAAATCACAATTTACTTTTCAACGGATCCAACATGTCATTTGTGTATGCTTTCACGGTTTTTTCGATTTGATCTTTTGAACATCATGGTCACCACGCGTTGGAAGTTGTCCCGTGCATTTTAAGTCCATAAGGCATCGTTAGGCTCAATGAAATGACATCAATGGCGAAGATCGATATCGGATATGTCGACAAGATGACATGTTCTGTTTCTTTCTTCATAGCTTTCAATTGCCTTTTGAATTCCGTCATTAGAGTTAAGCTATTATCTTTCATGTATGATAATTTTTCATGCACGTTTCGCACAAACGGTGCCAAATTGTTTAAGCATTTTTTCCTAAGCTAAAATTAATTGAAAGAAGTACGTGTATTGAATGGGTTTCGTACAAGAACAATAAGAATATTAAGATTAAGAAGTAAGCTAATTATGCTAGTAATCGAGTGGGAATGAATATGATATACAATGTGGTTCACACCTATTTATAGGATAAGTAATTAATACCTCCTGGACGTTTCGTTCGTTACTGACGGTTTGATTCGACGATTCCGTTCGTTACTAATGGTTTGGTTTCACGGTTTGGTTCGTTGTGACGGTTTCAACCCGTCATAGACTGGTCAACTCAAGTTAACTAACCTCATCTTTAATTACATTCAAGATCATATTAATACATCAAAACGTTCTAACAATCAACATTAAGTCTTATAAATGTATCATTAACTTCTATAATCAATTCTCATAAATGTAGAATCAAACCATCAAATATCTAATCTAAGAGCAACTCCATTGCTGATACTCAAATAATCAGATTTTTTGTGCCACATCATTGCCACATATAAAATCATAAATGATATCAAATAATCTTAACTTCCTCTCAATCATGATCTTAAATTATTGTGATTTTTGTATACAAAGCACCAAAAGAGTATCTTTCCTACGAAAACACATGTCCACATGTTTTATTTATTTTGCCAACGTATTACTTAGCTTTGTTTTTTCTAATTTTGTTGATTACAAACATTACTCCATTCCTTCTCCAGTTTAATTTTTTTTATTACAAAGAACTATTATTTTTATCCATTTGTGACTTTGCTAGATGAAAATGAGATAGGCAATACTGTATACATTTTTGCAATCCAAAATAAAGAATATTTATATGCTAAAATAGGGTGACCGTGGGTGCCTATTATTATTTACAAAATGGTAATTCAATTATGATTGCAATCTGTTAAAATTAAAACGTAATTCATACATTTTAAAATGAGGCTGCGTACAATTAAAAAAAAATGAAGCTACGTGCAATGCATACAAGGACTTTGCTAATTGCTATTGGATACTTGGAAAGAATTCCCAGCTAAACGCCATCAAATAAGGAAAAGTCATCAAATAAGGAAAAGAATACACGGTTATCCCAATTTTCCATATATGTTGGAGAAATCATTTAAAATAATCTGGTTTCAAATTTTGATGCTGAATTTTTTTTTATAAATAATCTTTACAAATAATCTCTTTATCTCAATCATAATCTCAAAATAATCAGCCACATCATCAAATTAATCTCTAAATAATCTAAACAATGAGGTTGCTCTAACAAATTCATACTTTTTAAAGTACTTGAGTTTGAATATATGTTTAAGTATGCCTAAACGATTTTGGACTTTAAAATATACTTTGAATACAGCTAAACATTCAAAAATCTACATTAAATACATATTACTTTTGTAATGCATGAACTTTTAAAATTTTGCTATTGACTGTTTGTAAAGTACCCCTTTAATATTAGGCTTAAAGGAGAGAGTTTTAGCTATACAAATCATTTTATATAAGGAATTTATAAGAATTTTGGAATCTCATTAAAGTCCATATTATAGTATCAACGAGTTATATTGCTTGTGTGTGGTATCTATATCATTTTAACTCCTTTTAGAATGTTAATGTTGTGATATCAATGTAAGTCCCCTCTTTAAAAAAGAATTTTGGGATCTCAAAATTATCTTGAGATATCTTCAAAAAAAAATTATCTTGAGATTGTTGTAGAAGTGAAAATATATCCAAAACACCTCCTTGTATCCTCTGATAACAGAATGCAAGCGCAGTCCAAGTCCCGAATAGATCACATACGGAATTTCTGAGCGCTGCCCTGTCGACTCTCGAGCATTGTCGCATCAGATGTACCTGCGCCGTGTCCGAATCTGTTGACAATACGAGACGTATAATTCCCTAGTCGTGCCGGGTGCCTCTATTTCCTAGACGCGATTCCCCCCTATGCGTGCTGTGTCCTTCTGCATAGTAAGTGATACGTAGTATTTGATAATTGAAATCTTTCAATCTTTTGCATTTTGTGCTGTGTCTGGACTCTGGAATAGTCATTTCATCGTAGTTGTATTACCAAACAAGACTAATTAACTTTCTAATGATAATGATTCCTAAACAGTTCATTATATATCTACTTGATTTCAAGTTTCTTCGAAGCTTTACATCTGCATCTTCATTTACATAACATCTGAACAAGCTCTGTGATATCGGAGAACACCCCACCTCTTTTTTCTTTTTTATGACGTATCTTGGAGTACATATGATCATAAGGCTTATTCAGGGTCAGTTTTTTTTTTTTTTTTTTTTTTTTGCATTTTATAATTGTAGTTTTCTAAATATTATCAACATTTATATGAAACCTATAAAAAATTATCAAAGTCAACGCTTTTCAATTTATCAATTATGAAATTCTTCATTTCTTTGAATTAAAGTTATTTTATCCCATACAAAATAGTAAAATGCCAATGTGTATGCTGATTGATTTTGGCCTGAGGTAGGTAGGTAGAAATGAATGTAGACACTAGAACGACAACGTGGTTATTGCTATATGGTTGGAAGTAGATGAGGGAGGGAGATAAAAACAGGAAATGGGAGTGTAGGTCCAGTGTATATGGGTAAGGAAACATATAGAGAGAGATAGAGAGAAAAGGGCATGTAGATGGGAAATTGGATACACACTCTTGAAAGGGTTTCGACCTGTGTTGTGCACTTGTGCATACATGACAAAGTGAAATTTTTAAGTACTTTGGTGGTGCTGGAGGATAAGTACACAATGTGATTAAGTAGATGGTTGGAAGTGTGGGAGGTAAATTGTTTGCAAGATCATAATAATGGTAATGTTGATCACAAGTGAATATTTATGTTTTTCAAAGTTACCTTTGATAAGTTAAAAATATGATACTTTCCATATATACTATCTACTTAAATGCAATGTTATTGATCTTGAACATCAACTATGTGACAACTTGAAAACAGGAAATTTATTAAATTCTATAAGTTTTTAAATAAACTGTCTCTGTTATCTATTTTTCTCCAATTTCGAAAAATAAGTTGCTCTTTAGAATTGAAGATTTGGAGTGAGGTTCGGGTCAGGTCCACTTTCCCTGACCCGAACCCTATGGACCCAGTTTACTATGGACCCGACCCTATTCCTGCCGAAGGGTGATACTTATCACTTTCCCTCGTCATATATGGATGATAAATTTCACCCTTTATGTGATTAGAACAGAAAAAATAACATTCAACGGGTAAACCGTTGCCCAGAATAATCAACGGAAGGATCTGTTGCCCAAGCTAATTTAGCTTAACCAAATCTGAATTTTTGTCCAGTTCCTGACTGAACAGCCCTGCGTGGGTATAAATAATACAATCGTACTCCAAACATTTTAGTTCCAGTAGGAAACTAAATCAGCTATTTAATTAATTGTACGTAGCCCTCTCCCAGTGGGAAGCAGACTTGCGCACAAAGCCTAAGGGGGGAAAACTTACGTACCTAGCTTAAGTGAATTCTAATATAAAATAATAAATAACAATAATAAAAGAACTAACTTAATTGAAGCTAATAATTAAATTAAAAACTCAGCCCACGGATAACCCAGCCCATAACCGGCCCACGGAAGTGGGCCCAAGCCCGGTCCCGCCCCATGCTCTTCCCGCTTCATATCATTATGGAGGAAGCTACTAAAAAAACTTGACCTGCAATGCTGGCTTCCGGAAGAAGCTTTTTTTGAATACGGCTTTGTGTTGGTGTGGGTGTGAAATCTTTACTATTCATCAGACACTACCTGTTTTAAAGAAAAACAGGGCTCTCCATCTTTTGAGTGTTTTTTATTTTTGTCTTATGGATATTGTATTTTTTATTTAGAGTGCATGATCCACTTTGTTCCTATAGATATTTTTTTTATTTAGAGTGCATATGCTTCTTCTTGGGTTGGATAAGAGTATGACGTTGGAGAGAGCAAAGTGGAGGATGCATATTCGTGTGGACGATTGATTTCTTTTCTCTCATTTCTCTCTGTATTTTACTTTTATCTGTTATATTCTTTATCTTTCTATATTCTTATTTTATTTTTATATTTTATCTTTCTTGTGTTCTTTTATCTCTTTTATCTTTTATCTATCTTATGTTCTTTTTATCTTATCCAATTTATCTCTCTTATCATGGATCGATTTATGTCAGATTGTCAGCCGGCCCCAAAATCTCTTGAGAATAAGGCTTGATGTTATTGTTGTTGTTGTTGCGTGATCAAATATGTTCCTATACACATCGTTTCCTTGTGCCCTTTCCTGTTTTTGTCTACATAGTTATTGTTGCTCAATCAAATCTGTTTATAATTGAGCTTGTAGACATTTGCGTGTAACAAGGAACTTGGATAATGGCGGCTAAGCGTAATACTCGTTACAACCGGCTTGCTGCGGATGAGGATGATGAATATTATGGGAGTGGGTCAAGACATGCTGACCGTCGATTTGAATATTCGCCAAAGTCTCTAGATCGAGTCCCATGGAAATCACTTGCCCTTGCATTTTTCCTGCTCTCACTTGGATGCCTTCTTCTCCTGCTCTCACTCTTTATCCTGACTAGTCATATGGCAGGAGATCAGTCCCAGGCACATGGTCTATTAGGACTCGGGATTTTAACCTTTCTCCCAGGTAAAGTACCAATGAAAAGTGAAATCTTGACCTTTATATATTGATTGTTTTTGTCCTATCTAATGTCTTAAGGTCCACAACCTCATACTAAATGACTGAAACAATCATAGCACATAGGTGTGAACCTTGCTGATGCAATGCAAAGGTGCTTTAGCATGAATGCATATAGTCAATACCAATATCTTATGATGGATTATTGGTTCAACCATTACTTAAGAAACTTTGTTATTATGTTTTTCAAACGTACTTACATACTAAGTTCGTTCTTTTATTAATTGCAAGTTGCAACAATTTGACTTTCATGTTTGTCAATATTAGACTTCAACTATTACTTTAATTAAATATGTAATTGTAAAACATATTTAAAAAATGATATTTTGAAAATATATACTGACAAACATAATCAAGTCGCACATAGCGTAATTTGTTTTTTATATACTACCTCCATTCCTTTATAACTGCAACAATTTGACTTTCACGTTTGTCAACACACAACTTTATTTGTAAATATATATAATTACTAGTAGTAAATATTATAATAGTTAATATTTTGGAAGTTAACATTAATAGAAATTTAATAATATTTTATACACAATAATTTGATGATATATATTAGTAAAAAATCATGGTCAAAGTAACATTTATGAATAGTACAAAAATCAAAGTGTTTCAACTATTAAAGAAAGGAGGAAGTATTAATTAAGAAATGGTCAAAGTAGAGTATTTGAATAGTTTGGGGGTCAAAGGGGTGTGATTAAAAAAGAACAGGTGAAGTTTTAAGCCTAAAATATATGTTTATAATAAGCGTGAAAGGCTATTATCTCGTGAGTTTATTCATTGATCTATTATTCACAAGTACTTTTTGAGTATTAGAATGTGACAAAGTGCAGTGTTGTAATAAAGTGTGTGAGGGTATTGTTTGAAAAGGTAGTGAAAGTTGTCTTGGAAACATAAAAACACCTAATTAGGAACAAAAAATTGAAGGTGTACATCTCTTAGATAGATAGCAAGTATAATAACTTACTTTATATGGTTTACTTCGGGTGTTTGTCAGTTTCTTGTGGAGTAATTTATTGATCTTTTTAGGCTTCGAGTTGATTGTGGTGGACGTTCTATTCCTTTCTAGTGTTCTTCACTATTGGGATGTTCCTGAATATTTATCAACTTATTGGATTTGTGGCAAGCTTGCTTTGTTTGATATATCCAGTTATCTCTGTTTTAATAGATTAGCTAGGTAAGCATAGTAAAATACCCACTCTCATACTTTCCTTCACATTTTGCCTTTTGTCTTGTGCCAAAATTTCTCTCCATTTCCTTTAAGAAAAGAGTTGTGTGGTTAATATTGCTGCTTTCATTTTTAAGTTTAACTCTATCACACTATTTTATTGTGTAGTTAAATATCTGAAGTCGAAATGGGGAGAAAAATTCGGGTCAGTGGGAGTAATAATAATGAGCTTTTGCGGTCAGCTTAATCTTTTAGCTTATTAGGGAGTACTTTTTATTTTAATCAGATAAAAAAAGATCCATCAGCATGATTTGGAAGACAGAAAATAAAAACAAGATCAGGTTGGACTAGACCACTCAAATTTACACGAGAAATATTTGGACCTGAGTAGATTGGATGATATATTAATAATAAAATACCTATATTGTTTTGGCTAGTTTTCAATCTCATCTGATGCATTGGCAGTAGGTATTATGTGAGATTTAATTAGAGTTAAATGTTATTACGACTCTTATTATTGCTGTTTTTTTTAAAAACTTATAGCTAGAACAGCAACTACCAACATTTATGACATTGCAGGTTTTTATGAAACACGCATTGCGTATTATTCTTGGAGAGGTGCTCAAGGTTATCGATTTGCTTATATTCCCGACTACTGACCGGGTTACTATGTTTATATGACCTTTGGTTTGCTGTACTCATCTTCTTTACGCATGTGTATATCAAAATATGCCATCATCGTGCTCCAACTCCCACTTCTCTCGTCCTTTGAACTAAACTTGTTGTACTGCTTCATGCTTGCTCCCTGGTAGAGTCCTGATGTAGGCGAAGAAAATGTGGGTTGGTATGCTTCCATGTCGAATAGCTTTGGCACTTCAAGATCTGTGACTCTGTGAGAGTTTGTATGAAAACCGAGTGATTGGACAAAATAGTTGAAAGAGATGGGATTAGTTGTTGAAAACATAGAGGAAAGTCACTAAGAAATGAATCTTCAACTTCTTGAAGAAAAATACCCCTTTCATCCGGACTACTTCCTCTTTCCTTTCAAAATGAAGTTCTCATCTTTATGAAAAGATTCTTTTTAAAAAGTTATGAAACTATTCTTACCTTTTATCTATTCTTTTGCTTCATATGTTATTGTATGATGCCCCCAGTTCGCCACTAATCTCTTTAATTGAGACTCCTTTAACTGTACACATTCAAACAACAGAAAAATCCATCCCATTACCTTCTCCTTTGAATCAGTCGGTTTCTCTCCTATGTCAGCTTTTAATGAAAATATTGTAACAAATACGTATCAGAATATGCAATAAGTGCACTTGTAGAGCACATAAGTACATAACAGTACATAATAACATGTGCAGAAGTTCAAAAAATAGCAAACTTTTTTTACACTTAAGAGTGCACTTCTATTCATTATCTATCCACTTTATATTATATGTACATTTGCACATTTTTTGACAGTGTGTGTTGTGATTAAAGTTCATATAATCCATCATTTGCAAGTGATTAAAGGCGAAGATTTGTCCTCACTTTTTATGGGAACACTACAAACTGATATTGATCATCCGTTGAATTGATTTAAAGACTGGAATCATACGATGACGTTTTGAAAATGAAATTAAACTTTTTCCAGATGCAACTCTTAACGTTAATATGCAACTGTTATTTTATTGCAGAATAACATGCAACAATTTGGGTCTCAATATGCAATATAAATAGCGTAAAGATGCATCATACAAACGTTTTCAAAATAAACACAATTTATCATATCCGCTCCTTACACACATATAGAGTTAATATTCGAGTCCAAAATTTTTGTGACAATACCTAATTTTGTCCTAGACTATTAGTTTTGTTAGTTTTGGTATTCAGACTTTTAATTCTTTACCAAAATTAGTTCTCTATTGTTATTTTTCTAAGAAAAAGGATAAAAGTATTTCCCCTAAATCTTTAAAATAGAAAAATATAACCATTTTTATTTTCCAAATATCTGATTAACTGTGTTTAATTAATACACTTTTTTTAATTCTAATTCCTACCCAACTACCCAACTCTACCCCCTGTCCCATTGTTGGCTCGAGTCGCATTTGTCGACGGTCATCGTCAGAAACTGCCACCGTTAGAAAATGTCATCAGGGCTCCTTTTTGAATTTTTGATTTATAAATTATCGCTGGTCATTTAATGAGTCAGGTTGCTTTTGTATGAGATGGTTGACTATAAGTCTATTCCTAGGACTTAGATTTAGAAATTATAATTATTTCATGATTTTACCAAATATTTAAATTGAATTTTAACTTAACGTTTTTAAACATGTACAGGATTAGGTGTTTTTTTTTGGGAAAAATTATGTGAAAAGTTTTATAATTGGTATTTTGTAATAATTATGATTCCAAAGAAATACCCATCTTGTCATGGATTGACATTGATATCAATATATTTTGAAACACTCCAATAGACTGACATTGCAAGTTTGATTTTGCATCTAAATCCGTAAGAAAAATGTCTTTTTCTAAATGAAAGGTATTTTATTAATCACTGTTTTTTTATTATTGTTATGTTCATTAGTAACTTGTATTTCAACACAAATTACTCCTGTTGAAACTTGGATAAAAGGCCCAATTGTTGTTGCACAAGGTCCCCATATTCTCGGGAACGGCCCTGCTTCTTTCCGTGTTTATTTTCCTCAACATTGTTTAATACTTTTTATTTTGATTCTATGTGTTTACTAGTATGTGTAAAGGACATCCAAATTGAGTGTTTTTTTATGAAGATACCATTTCGGGGGTATTAACCAGTTTGATTTGGTTATCACTAGCTTCTCACCCGTGTGATGCACGGGACATATATAAATAAGGGATGAAATATATCATTTGTTGACATTATTAGCCAATGTATAAGCAAATACAAAGAGTGTAGATGTAATACGCGTCCAAAAATTTAATTAAAAAGAGATAATTACAACTCATAAATGGTATGAAATGTATTTTTTGGGAATAAGAAGCATGAAATAAATATCAAAATAAAGTTTCTGTATTCTATACATTTCGAATTACTTCATTGCTTGTAAAGAATATTGGCAGTACGACAAATCAATATTTTCAAAGACTTACAATTTGTTACTCTCGATAATGTAACAAAAAGTTGAACATGCGTTAATAACGATGGTTTTAATCATAGTCTAACATGCGACAAAGTTTGACATTGACTCCTATTCATAGTAATCACATGAGAGGTCATGATAGAAAATCATATTTTTTGAAACTTAAACAATAATATCTCTGTCCCGCTAAGATTGTCCTGTTTTACCATTTCGATCCGTCCCACTAAGATTGTCTCATACCAAATTTTGCAAAGTTTGTGTGACTATAAATCATTCTTACTTTATTCTTTATCAATTCAATATCAACCACATAAACCACTTTTTCTTAGTTTGCATGCCACTCTCTCTTGTCCCATTGTTAGCGGGACGGAGGGAGTAGTTTTTAATCTATCATCAAATAAAATCAAATGGTCAATTTGAAAAACTAACTAAATCATACTTTTGAAACATTGAATACATAACTTTTGAGCATAATTAATCATTAATAATTAATAATAAAAAATATCATAAAAAAATTGTCAAGTAAAAAAATTAACTCAATGATGCTTTTTACTCTCTCTGTCCCTTAAAAAATTAACTCAATCGTTGTGCCGGTTAAATTTGGCAAAGGTTTTAAGGACAGAGGGATTATAACATTGAATACGTAACTGTTGAAAATAATTACTCATTACTAATCAATAAACATATATTTGTAATTAATAATATGAAAAATAATTTAAAAAACATTATTAGAATTATTAAAAAACTATAACAGCTAAATGACTTAAGCCCGTTACTATATTAGACTTATTTACGAGTTCAATGAATTGGACCCAAAAGCTAACTAATTTACGTAAAGTCGTCAACGACCATTTGTGCACAAAACCCATACTTAGGCAATTGATTAGTTTTTATTACCGAGGAATGGCCGAATGAATAAATTGGATCCAGAACTCAAAATTGGACCCATGACTTCGGCCATTTGTTCAACAGCCCAAGTTATTTACGGAGTCTTAACCTAGCCGCTTCAAACCAACCAATATATAATCCTACATATCTAATGCGCCGCTTTATGAATCCGTACAGTCCAAGAGCTCGTAGGTTACAATCTGCCACTGTTTCCAGAACACTCCTTTCTCTCGTCCGTCGTTTCTCAATATGCCACCGTCTGGATCTTCTTCCTTATCTTACCATTCAATCGACCTTTTCAGGCGTCATGTATAGCGTGCGGTTACAACAGTTTGGAATCCATTGCTGGTCCGACCTTTTCAATTAAACGCTTACGCGTTTGCCTCTCTGTCGGTATTTGGTACATATCTTTTAAATTTTACAAAATCTCGTCCTCAATTTCATTTTCGATGTGTCGCTAAAGTCAAGTTTTCCATGTCAATTGATTACCGATGTTCATGCTTTTCGTATAAACATGCAATGTGTTCAACGGTTTGAGCAATGTGTTAAACATGCAATGTCTTGATTGTATTCTGACCTTCTCTTTGTCATATGGCCAAGTGTGTGTGCGGTATATTTATAAACCATAATCGCTGTGTTTGTTTTTTCCTTGGTCATTTTTATTTCATTCGTTACAATCTTAACTAATTATTATATTTATGAACTAATAAACATAAGTTTCTAATCACAACAATAAGAACTGTGTGTTATGTTGGGTTTTAAATATTACTCCGTATGTTTTAAAACCACTCTGTTATTATCATAGTTGTTTCACCATATGCATAGTAAATCATATCATTTTCGAGTAAAAAGCCAATTTGAAATATGCTTTCTTTTACAGCTTTACTGAAAGCTATGAACTTCCTGCTTCTTTAATCAATTAATTAATAATATCTATATGTATCAGTCTATAATTTAAAATGCTTATTAAGGTCTGCTTTTAATCCTTGGTTAGCAAGATAACATAACCAAAGTCTTGATATATAAGGCCAAATATCAATTGTGCTCGTATAGTACATTTGTTTAATATTAGAAATGATTTTGTATTGAAAATTGATATGATATTATTAAATTACTGGTAAGTATAGTAGGATAGTCATGTTTCTTACCAAAGTCCAATTTTATTTTTGTCCTGATTTACTCTGTTTATAACTTAATTCATCAAGTGTAATCTATCTTCATTCTTTAAGCTACCTAAGTTGTGGCTTTTGGAACAGTTTTAATATTATTAAAATATTTTTTGCCAAGATGCTCCCTAATTACATGTGATTGAATTATTTGTTATGACTTACTTTACTCATTCTAACTTCATTCACTTTCAATTTTATCGATTAATAATGATTCATTTAAGCAGACACCCATGCTTTAAAAAAAATCTTTTTTTTTTTAAATATTGTCCAATTAGGTAAGTTTTGGCCAAAACAAAAAGAGATAGTTTTCCATTTTGAAATTTTCTTCCTTTTGCAATCCAATACCATTCTCTAATTTCTCTTGCAACAATAAGTGATAGATATACAAATATATTTTCACATAATATCTTTTACCTTTAACATTGCAGGAATAACTCACCAAGATTGTCTTTTACCTATTATGTACCTGTTATTGGTATGGGTATGCATTAAACCTCAGGTATATGACCCTAATCTTTTTATTTTCTAATTATTACATTTAAACTTATTATTCACGTTGAAACATGATAAACTGCAGCTAGTTACTTAACAAATATACTCCGTAGTTAGTTTTGAACGCATGCTAGAAACGAACTTAAATTTGATACATCATACACCATACACCGTATTTGATTTCTTAAGTATGCTATTTGATTGTCTTAATAAATACACCAAAAAGTTATCCAAAATAACATTGTGTATTTTACATTGACTATTGTTGATAATACTCATAGGCTCTCCCAGTGTTTTAGCAGACATGTGACCTGCAAAAAAATGTAATAGCTTTAAATCCATGCGATGCATTGGACATAAAAAATCATGTTGGTCTAACATTTTCCCATCATCTAGCTAATTTTATGATTCTTTGGCGTTAGTGTTCATGTAATTAGTTAATTACTAATCAAAAGATTGAAAAAATCATGTTGCTTCAATACTTGAGTCCTGCAATGATAATGAGTGACATATATAAAAAAAACTTACCTTTGTACCCATAACACACGTAAACACACTCATTACTTACCTTTGTCATTATTTTGGATTTGAATTGGAGCCTGTGGCAGATTGCTAAGAAATATAATACTTCGGATTGCTTGGTTGTGGTGTGGTGTGGTTGGACAAACCACCATTTGGTATTTATAGAGACGGATGGGAGTGTCATGTGAGGCAATTGGGTATTAACCAATGGTTAAATCCGAACACAATCTCTACTTTTAGATTTTATGGTACAAACATTAAATGTAGTCTTGCAA